TTGAGGACATATAAAAGGAACAATAATCTATAAACAAATTTGTTCTCTGACTTCCTTGGTGAACTTTATTTTCTCATTCTACATTGTACTTCGAAAACACCTCATCGATTCAATTTAAAGAAGGATTTGACTTGAAATTTAGATATTTTCATCTTTGTACCCATGGACTGAAATTGATGAGGTGTTTTTCATCTTTTTAGTCCTTTTAAATCATCAATTTGTCTACGTTTTCCCCCTTAGATTTGAGTAATATGGAACGATAACAATTTATTTTCTATTGTAATCAGAGACTTCCCGAGCTAGAGAAGCGTCTGATTAGCTTGAACATTGGGGATGAGAATGCAGTCAAGGCTACAATTGAGGAATTTTCTTTACATGTGCAGCTTGATGAAGACAGCGTTTTAAACAAGTAAGAAAACCTGTGTCAAGTTATATTGCTCCCACTCTTTATTTTGTTTGAAGCATCTTTGACACTGCTCTGTTTTATACACATTCAAAATAGGCATCCGATATGACTCTCTAAACACATAAAACTTAGAACAAATTGGACGTACCTTTATCGAATAGATGACCATATTCATTACTCGGGTTCATAGGTGTCAAATAGAGTGTAAATTGGGAAATGATCATTGACCTCAGCACTAATGAAAGCTGATAGTTTTTATTACTTTCCAGGAAGGAGATAAAAAATGAGTGTTTCTCGAAGGATACAGTTGCAGACATTATAAAATCATTTGTAAGTTATTTTTCTTCTTTAATCTCTGAACATAGAAAAGAATAGCAATATAGTTTCAGTTGGAAAAACTCATCGTAATATTCATTTTGTTTGCATGTTCTCTGACAGGAAATGGAGGCGAGCAAAGACGGCAATGGATGGATTGGTCCTATACTGAAAGGGTTAAAAAGATCATCACCAACGGGATTGAAAGTAACATTGAGATCGGTAATAGTTTTTTTACTTTGAAAGACCATTTCATTCATGAATTTCACTGGTTTGCAGAACTCTGGCATATACTTTTCCTACTAACTCGAAATAAATTCCTTGCATTATATTCATCACTTTTCCTACTAACATGGTGTCTAATCTTGACTTCGATCCATAAAAGTGTCTTATCTTTTTCATGTTAAAATTGATGCATTGTCTTGATTTCAAACATGAGATCAGTGACTTCATCATGATCTTTCTGATGTCTACACGAATGTCTGTCTTTTTTTTTTTTTTAGAGTGGTGGAATATAAAACTGATATCTACTAACAAATCACCACTGGTTGACTTGGTTTTTCCCCAAATGGTAGTTAATTACTGAGTTTTCATGGTAACTTACCATTACTTATCAGATTGATATTTCCAGATTCGTGAAGGGAAAAAGCAGACGCTGGCTGAATGTCTGAAGAAAGAATTTCGACTAACAATGAATATATTACGGACCGCAATATCTGCAGATGTCTATGAGGTAAATGTTGAGTTTAACCTCTTATGGAAACTTCAAAAATGAGCTTCTTCTAACTTCTTGAATGGATATTCTGTTTTTTGTTGAAAGGGTATTAGAGCCCTCACCATTGACAAGGATAATGCACCAAAGGTACTCTTTTTCACTAATGCATTATTGTATGCTATGTTGCTCCAACTCATTTTTCTCTTTCATTTCCCTGGAAACATGTTTTGGTCACATGAAAAAACTCACACCGGGTGTAATAACATGCGAGCTTTATTTGTCATTTGCTTGTTAAACATTCTGCACTTGGGAAGAGTCTGTAATCAATATATGTTATCACTGGATGAATTTTTCGAACCTGATAAAATAGGTAACTAAAATTTTAAGGGGAGCTCCAAGCATCTCATAACTTCTCCTGTGTCAAACTGCTACAGTGGGATCCACCAGCTCTTGATCAAGTGGATGATGAGAAGATAAACCTAGTATTTCAGCCATTTACAAAGGATTTGGAGCTCAGAATTCCAGAACAGGAAGACTTCAGGTGAGTAGAACCTAGATTGTTTCATTTTTTCTTGAAATACATCATGTATAAAAGAAATCGAATGTACTTGTCTTGGACACATTCCTATATCAGACACTCGTATCCGAGTTCGAGTAACATAGGGTATTACTCTGGGACCTCAAGTCCTCTCATATGTCATTTACTAATGTCAGGATATAGCTAAAAGGACTGATCTTTCTTTCCATTTTGTCATTTGGTATATTATCCAAACCAAATTATAGGCGGGATGGAAAATACGAGAACTCGGTATACGCAAAATGAACAAGCATGAAACACAATAAGAAGATGATGGTGAGGAGCTGCTTCTTTCTAGGAAATTCTCCAATCTCTATTAAAGAAATCTTATTACGTCAGATAACAGGGTTTTTTTTATCCATGCCAGGGTTCATTTTGTGTTTAAATATCGAATCTTTCCTCTTTGAAAAAAGTTGAAAATTATTCTTAAAAGCTCACATGCATGTTTGGAATTTCTTTTTATGAGTTTTACGGTTCATGTCTTTTTATGAGTTTTAAAACTCAGGTTCGTTTATGCCACTAACGAATTGTCAATTTTAACACCGGCATTTATTTTTAACTGCAATTATGCCATCCCTTCGTTAATCCATTAATGGGACGATGACATGACATCTCCATTCTGTGACGGTGATGATATGGCTCCCTCACCAAAAAAACGTCGTTTTGGCACGACTGTTTTGATGTTCAAAAAGCTCAAAATGACGTTTTGTTGATAAAAAATGGTTTCAATGAGATTCAAACCATAAACCTTTAGGAATTAAAACTAAACATCCAACCACCAAGCTAACTTAATAACTTATTAAAAACTTAATAAAACTATTATAAAACTTAAATAACATTTTGAATTTTTTAATTTTATAAACACATACTAATAGTCATCTCCTTCCTTTCTTCCTCAACAAAACCCTAAAAATGGAAGCTTCCTCCCATCATCATCTTCTCCATTCTTCTTTGCCCTTACATCCATAACAACAAAAACTCAAACTTTCTCAGTTCATTCCAATGTCATTGTGATAAATGTTTGTATATATATGTTGGCTATAGATACAGTTGTGTTTCCTGTGATTTCCCACTTAATTTCGCCTGTGCTTCTTCGACCAGTGGTCAGCTTCCTAAAGATGAAGAGCCGCTGAGGTTTAAAGATGGGAAGAAAAATACAATCCAGCATTACAACCACGTTCACAAGCTGAGCTTCGTCAAATATAGGAAGATACATGGAGAAGACTTGGATTGTTTCTGGTGTGAAAAACATCTATCGGGAGTGTGCTACGGTTGTTTCGAAAAAAGATGCAAATTCTATCTTCACATCGAATGCAGTGATAAGATACCAAGGACAGTTGCTCATCCTTTTCATCTTAGCCACACTCTTAGCATAATGTATAACTACGGGTGCTGCTATGCTTGTAAAAGATATGCTAAACTTGGATATATGTGCGAGATGTATAGCTTCCACGTTGGTATTGACTGTGCTAAACTCTTTCCCACCCTAAAACTTGCCAGCCACCCTCATTCTCACATTGGTATTGATTGGGTTCTTTAGTTTCTTCCATTTTTTTTAACAATGACGTTGGAATAGATTGAGAAAGTTTGGGTTTTTGTGGTTGTTAATGTAAGGTAAAGGAAGAATGGAGAAGATGATGATGGGAGGAAGCTTCCATTTTTAGGGTTTTGTTGAGGAAGGAAGGAGATGACTATTAAGCTGTGTTTATAAAAATTCAAAATTCAAAATGTTATTTAAGTTTTATAATAGTTTTGTTAAGTTTTTAATAAGTTATTAAGTTAGCTTGGTGGTTGGGTGTTTAGCTTTTATTCTAAAAGGTCTATGGTTTGAACGTTAGTGTTAAAATTGGCAAAATTGAAATTTTAGTGACATAAACGAACATGGGCTTAGAGGTGAGTGTTATTTGAAGTAATTAACCCTATATTCTATTAATTTAAGTAATTAATTTATATTATATTAATAAATCTTAGAAAATGTATGATTGAAAAGTTAAGGGCCCAATAGAAAATGGGGCTCTGAGTAATCGCTCACCTTGCTCCCCTTATTAGCCAACTCTATTAATTACTTATCTATTTTTACGGTTTTATTTTGGTCATTCAATTATATTTTTCTTTAAGTCATACTGAATTTTACACTTTGATCATTTGCATTTAAAAAATTCAGGGTAAAGTACATGTTTAAGACCCCAAATATATCTTTTATTATGTTTTTGTCATCTAACTATTTTCACTCTCAAATTCTCACAAAGCATTACACTTTGGTTTCATTTTTCCAAGTCGAGTCGTTTGAGTTTGTGTTTAGATTTAATTGTAAATATTTATAATGTTATAGTACTATTTGATCTCAATTTAAATTATTTTCTATATTTATATATGAGATATATATTTTTTTCATATGTAATAAACATATACAATGTAAAGTTGAGAAACTCGACTTGAACTTAAAAATCAATCCACTAATTATTAAAAAATTCGAGTTATTTGATTTCTATTTTATAATTCAACTCAAATTTAATTTTTTTTGACCAAGTCAAATTTATAAAATTACTAGTTAAGTAAGTATAGAACCCTAACGCCTAGTGTAAAATATAGATTATAGTATTGACATCATCTATGTTACGTTTCAATATGTCTAAGGCACGTTTGAAATGCATCTTGACCGACCCTTTTGGTGCCGGTCAATGAAAATTTCCGCAAGTCAAAAATCAACTCTTTCAGTTTCGGGCATTCGTCGCCCGACTACAGTTAACTCAAGATTTCTTTCATTTTCATCTCTGCTTCTCCAAGTTCCGGATTGAATTTTGGCACTTTCTCATTTGTTCTCTCTGGAAGAGAGCTGAATTCCATGCTACTTTAAATGTTTTCTGGTTTGTTATCATAATCATTATGGTGGTTTATTTATTTAGTGATATAAGAAATTGAATGTACAAACCTTTTCCTGGGAATTGTTTTTCATGTGCAGAGATAAACATCATATAATTCTGCTCCTTTGGAATCGGAAACAATAATGGAGTTATCAAGCTCTCTAGATCCGATAACGAGCAAGGTCATCTCCATTTTAGAAAATGAAGCCTCGTTGTTGACAAAGATTGGAGCTGAAATCAATGAAATCAAGCTTGAGCTCAAGGCCATTGCAGCTTTCCTTCAGGATGCTGACAGAAGAACAGGAGTAGTAACCATCAGTGAAACTGATAATCAATGGGTCGCAAGCGTCAGAGACATTGCCTATGAAGTTGAAGATGTCATAGACGAATTCAAGTACCACTTCAACAAGCAACAACAATGGAGGGGTAAACCCTCAAGATTTTTCTTGAAGCTTATTCATTTTCCCAAGAATGTATTGGTCAGGCATGGAGTAGCTGTCAAGTTACAAAATATCAACAGAAGGATCAAAAGCATTGCAGAGAGAAGCCATCGATATCGAGTTTCTTGGTCAGAATCAGGAAAATCTGATGAAAAGCAGATTGGAGTACAACATCATTGTAACAACTGGGTGAAAAATCTGAGTGAATCTTCTCTCTTTTTTAAGGATGATGGTCTTGTTGGAATCAATAAGGCACAATGTGAATTGTTGGGATGGTTAATGGATCAAGAGCTCCAAAGGACCGTGATTTCTGTTGTCGGGATGGGCGGTTTAGGTAAAACAACTCTCGTTGCCAACACTTTCAACAAACAAGTTGTCGAGCAACATTTCGATTGTTGTGCATGGGTTTCTGTCTCCCAACGATATGTTGTAAACGAGCTATTCAAGTCCATGATCAAAGAGCTCTATGACAAGGCAAAAGGAAAAACCGATCGAGCGATCAACCTCGACTCCATGAGCTATCGAGATTTGGTGGGGGCACTGGTGGACTTCTTGGAGCCAAGGAGGTATCTTATTGTGATAGATGATGTTTGGAACACCAAATTCTGGCAAGATATTAGCGTAGCTCTTCCTGCCAATATGAATGGAAGCCGAATCTTGCTCACTACACGAAAGGAGGACGTTGCTTCCTTTGAATTCGGAGTTGTGAAGCACATCCTTCCGCTTCAACCCTTACCGTTTGATGATAGTCTGGCTCTTTTCTGTAAGAAAGCTTTTGTTGGCAAGGGCGGACAATGCCCTCCATATCTTGTATCTTCAGCAAGAAAGCTAGTTGCAAAATGTGAAGGCTTGCCATTAGCTATAGTTGCTTTGGGTGGTTTGATGGCTTCCAAGAACTCAATTGCTGAATGGAATGGAGTTTACAATAACCTGCACCGGGAGCTGAGCGAAAATGATGCATATTTTGAAAGGCTCAAGTACATTTCATTGCTTAGCTACCATGATTTGTCTTACAAACTCAAGCAATGTTTCCTATATTGTTGCATATTCCCAGAAGACTATGTGATTAAACGTAAAAGACTTATTAGACTATGGATGGCAGAAGGCTTTGTTGAACCACTGAGTGAAACAAGTCCAGAAGTTATTGCAGAAGGATACCTAAGCGAGTTGATTTGCAGAGGCCTGCTTCAAGTTGTAAGGAGGAATGAATCAGGGAGGCCTGAAAAATGTAAGATGCACGACATTTTGAGGGAGTTTGCTGTTTCCATATCGAAATCCATAAAGTTTTTCACCAAATTTGATGGGAAAGAAGAAGTAGAAGATGATGGAATCCGTCGTTGGTCAATTGAAGCAAAGGAGGGAGAGATGAAAACTAAAAGAACGACTGCACTATCTCGGGTTCGTTCATTGCTTGTTTTTGCTGTTAGTGAAACCTCTAAATCTTCCTTCAACAGACTGCCCTCTGGTTTTAAGTTGATGAGAGTGTTGGATTTAGAAGACACTCCAATCCATGAATTACCAGATGAATTGGTGAACTTATTCAACTTGAGATATCTTAACATTACAGGAACTCAAGTCAAAGAGCTTCCGAAAAACATTGGCAAGCTTTACAACTTACAGTCTCTAGTTATGAAGCGGACCAAAATCAAAGAGCTTCCTGCAGGAATCGTGAGGCTGAAATGTCTTCGGTATCTAATTGCTTATCGTTACAATGTAAACCAATGGGCATTCGACGCTTGGTTCAACACGGTAGTTCCATCCGGCATTTGTTTGCTAAACAACTTACAAGTCTTGACCGCTGTGGAAGCAAGAGGTGATTTCATCAGTCGACTCAGCAAAATGACACAACTGAGAAAGCTTGACATTGACAATGTCAAGGAAGCTGACGAGGAAAAGTTGTGCTTCGCCGTTGCGAAAATGATACACCTCCGATCGTTGGGGGTGAAGTCGTGTAATGAATACGAGCGAGTGAAGATGGATGCTCTTGAATCAGCTCCCTCTGACATCGAAAATCTTGTTTTAGCCGGGAAATTGGACAAGTTACCCAACTGGTTTAACTCGCTCCACAGCCTCACACAATTGTCTCTACGCTGGTCTAGATTGAGGGATGATTTTCTCCCTCAAATCCAAACATTGCCTAATCTTGGAGAACTCAGACTACTAAATGCATACCAGGGACAGCGGTTAGACTTCCTTGAAGGATTCCAAAAGCTCAAGATTTTAAGAATTGGAGGATGCCCTGGATTGAAAGAAATTGTGATCAATGAAGGAGTGATGCCTGGTCTTCAAGAGCTGTTTATCGTTGAATGTCGAGGGTTTACGATGTTGCCGCATGGTTGGAAAAGTTTGCGTGATCTGAAACAGGTTTATTTGTCAAACGTTTCGTCGGAGCTTATTCAGAAAATATGGAGATCAAAGAAGATGGATCAACGAACAATCACAGGCATCGTGTTGAGTAGGCAAGAAGACACTGAAACTGTATTCAATATAACGAGATGGCATTGATGATTCCGGCAAAATAAGACGAATGCTTTCAGTCGTATGTATCGCTATAATCCATTGCCCAAACCCGACATTTATATATTCAATGTTCTTGGTTTCTGTAATATTATTTACCATGATTATAGCCTCAACTTTGTAAGATTTGGTCTAATTGTGATATACTTCTATCCGGGCTACGTTTATTATAATCCTACCATTATTAATAATAATTACTTCTTTCTATCAAATTCAACCCAATTTAATTAGTCTGTCTACTCATCAAGGAGACCGAGAGTATCCATCCATATTGCCATAAACCATTAATCTAACGATGGCTTTTGATGCGTTGGGGAATCCAACAAAGCTAAATCTTTTGTTCAGTGCATGTGCTGCGTTTCCTTGGTATGAAACCATCAATGACAGCACCATAGAATTCAAACATCTTCCAAACTAGTTTTGGGGAATGATTTTACAACGAAAACAGTATGGCATCCAGGAGCCCTCGCCATCAATACAATAATGCAAAACTAACACACTATATGTATGTATGGATATCTCAAATGTTTTGTATTACTATTTAGGGTAAACTACATGTTTAATATTTAAAAGATTACTTTTGGTCTATTTTGATACCCCAAACTTTATTTTTTTCAAAACCGTACCTAATGTTTAGTTTAGTTTTATTTAACGATGATGTTGATGTGTCACTATAATATAATGTCATATTATAATTAAAAAATTGAAATATCAAGTCAACAATTTTTCTATTTTTTTAATTGTGAGTATCAAATTGAAACCTAAATTTTATGGATGTGAAATTAGGTAATCGTTCAGGTTTCAGTCGGCTTTTGTCAGGTCAGCTCAAATCGGATTCAAATCGTGTCAGGTCAATTTGATGACTTGACCCAGATCAGGTCGGGTCTGAGTCAAATCAATTCGAGTCATTTTCAGGTTGATTTGACATCAGATTCAATTCGGATTCGGGTCGGGTTAGTTTAAGTTCGGATCGATGTCAATTTAGGCCAAAACGGTTCAGGTTCGAAACAGTTAAATATCAGGTTAATTCAGGTTCGGATGGACTTCAGTCAGATCTCATTCAGATCAGATCACATCATTGAAGGACAAAATTTAGGTCGGATCTTACTGGTTATGAATTGAGTTCATGTCGGGTCATTTTTTGGTTAATTATTTGTCTTTCATAAGCGACGAATTGTAATTGTATATGATTTGGAATAAATTATAAAAAAATATAAATAATTATGGGTCAATTTTAATAAAATATAATTTTAATGACTAAAATTAAAAACATGAAATTTAAAATTGAAATTTAAATAAATTAAACAACAGGCATAGACGAGGGATCAAATCAAAATAATTACAAAATGTTAAGTTGAAATTAAAATGAAAATAGACTAAATTGAATCCATTTAAAAAGTTGGTGAACAAAAGTTTATAGAGTTTAGATATTACTATATAATTTTAAGAACTAAATTGATTAAACATGAAATTACAAACTATAATTTAAATAAATTAAACAACATGAAAGGATCAAATTAAAACAACTATAATATATGTATTATATAATATATGTATGATGAATGTTATGATACATGTGTATATTATGTACATTACATTTATGCATCCATTATATCTATATCTATATATATATATAATATACTTATCCATATATATGGGTTTTTTGCTCAATAGGGCAAACAATTAATTAATTATCCCAACATGGCATATAGAAGTTTATTTTGGAATTTTCGGCATTTTACTTCAGTGACTTCTAATAAAAAATATTTTTTATTCAAACTTTTTACCTTTGATGTAATAAAATTTAATTATTTTATTTTATTTTATTAGAACTCATCACCTCAACGTGACGAGAATAAAAAATATTATTTGGTAAACTCATCATCTCGACGTGACATGTTCCTTGAACACTGTAACAAATGTCATATATCTCAAAATAAACTTCTTTATGCCTTATTGGGTTTATTAATAAAATTGTTTGCCCTATTAGGAAAAAAATCTATATATGGTACATTTACAAAATGAATAAGTCCATTTTCATGTATATATATATATATATATATATATATATATATGGTCCATTTACAAAATAAATACCCATTTTACAAAATAAAAACTCTAGCCCATTACAAGCCTATAATTTGTTAGAAATTTTAAAAAACCTATCTAACAACGCATCGTTTTGATGTCAAATAAAATATGTCTTAGTCTCAATAAAAATAAATATAAATAAGTAGAATAGAGAGAGTAAGGGTTGATCTGCAGGGAATATCGTAATTGCCAATGAATTGGTCTTGTTTTAAGGCTAGGTGTGAATTTGGAAAGAAAGAAAAAAAAGGGATATTGTTTGATCGAACAATAAAGAAAGTAAAACTAAAACAAAATAAATCTAAAAGTAAAATTCAATAATAAAAATCAGCCTCAAGCCTTCGCTTTGCCTCAAATTCCGCCGATCATTGAAATAGATCTTAGTTTCGGATTCATGCCAGTTACAATCTATAGGGCCCAACCCCTATAACTTGTTTTTCTCTCAATTGAACCAACAATCCAAAATAATATTTGATTTTAGTCCTTATGTGGACTAATTGCGACAATCGTTATTAGTGCCACTTGATTTAAAAGCTTTGGAAAAACCTAACTCAGATAATGTCTCGTTGAGAATTGAATCCGATCTCAATTTCCCTTAGCGGACCGCTGCTAAGTGTGCTCACAGGAAGTCCAATGTGCTACAAGCCGATCCTTCATTCCCAAATGTTAATCGAAACAATTAACAAGCCAACGAGCTCTTTTTGATTTGAAATTGTTTTGATTATAAAAGGATGGTTAATTACCAATCCTTGATTCCAGAAAACTAAAAATGTAACCCGAAGGGTATTGAGTGCTTTTCTATTATCACGATAGGAATTGACTCGTCGTTTTAGCCTTTGGCTATAAAAGAATGAAATTTTATAAAACTAAAATAAATAAGAACAAGTAAAAACCAGAAGGTGGTAGATGTGTTCGAAGCTCACCATAATGGGTATTTATAGCTTCTTAAGACCCTAAAAATGCTCAAGATAATTCCTAAAAATCATAAAAGATAAATCCCTAAAAATCACAAAAGATAATTCCCCTAATTGTTTGAATAAAATCTCAAAAACAAAGATAATTCCTAAATTCAAGTTGGAAATTACGGTTGAGACTTGTTCTTGCATGAAAATGCTAAATGGACCTTTTAGAAGATGTTGACTGGATGCCACGTCAGTAGAGTCATGCCTACTAGTCCAACCCCGATTCCATAAAAATATTTTTTTTAGAAATTCGCCCTTTTTAGCATAGTTTCTAGAATCCAATGTCCTGCACAGAAAATAAGAGAAAATGTCCAACTTAGCAACATAAACCGACGAAACAAGGGTTAATTAATAATAAAATAATAACAAAATTAAACACTCATCAAATTCCTCTCACTTACTTAATGCTTTTCCTCAAACATTTCTCAAACAATGAATTAAAATTCCAAAGACTTTCAAGTGAATCAGAATCATAACATTTGATAAAATTAAATAGCAACCAAGCAAAAGAAACGATTAAAAGCACGTTTAAGCAAAGTGTGAGCATCTTATTTGAATTAAAAAACCATCCACTCACCCATGCCCCACGTGAAGCACTAACCCACTATGCCTATGCCTCCACCTTGGCCAACGAGATGCCCATACCTTGCTGTTCCTAAAGCTGTGCATTTTCCCATGCTTATGTTGGTCGACCACTACCAGCAGCCCCCATACAGTGACAATGCCGATGCTAATCCACGAGCATACACGCCCGACAGCACTCTGACTGAGCAGCTCAGTTCCCCATCCACATCTACCAACAAACAATTATTTTATTATCTTTACATATGTAATGGATATAAAATCCAATGAAACAAACAATGTAAATGGGGGATCCCATTTCAGAGAAAAGATCCGAAAAAGCATTGTAAAAATGGGTCTCTCACTCTTTATTTTTCCGATCGGAAATAAAACAAATACAAGCATTTTTTAGAGTCAATTTTCTTTTTATTTTCAGATGGTGTTTGTGTGTGTATGTGTTTTATTGTGAACGAAAATTGAGCAATAAAAACACGGTAACACAATTTCTCAGAAAGGAACATTTTTTCAAGCAAATTAAGAGGGATCGAAGTTTACCTGGCTGTGGTGTTCGTCGGAGAAATAGGGTCGCCAAGGAGAGGGTAGAGATCGAGCTAGCATGGTTTAGGCCGCAGCGCCACCGTGTGTGGTGGTCTGCCTTACAATTGGGACCTCTCAGCCAAGGGAGGGATAAGGGATTAGGCTCGATGTTCATCGGGTGTCTGCTGGCGTTGGGTTTTAGGGCGTCGATGGTAGCTAGTCGAGGGGAATGACCACCCGTGCAGGGTGGCATGAGCGTCGGGCTCCGGTTCTTCAAGGTCAGCCACTGTGTGTGCACGAACAGGAGAGGAAGAGAGCTGTTATGGTGTAGAAAAGGTTCAGGCCGAGTGAAACCAAAAGAAGAAAAAGAAATTATATTTAGGAATTTTAGGGAATACCACGCTCAGGTCCCCATAAAATTAGCGCATTTTGTGTTTCAGTCACCATTTTCGTGGGTAAATATCCCTTAGATCCTTTATACTTTTACTGTGTTTTATTTAGAGCACTAGGTTGACCGTTTGTTTTGGTTATTTCAATTCCGGTTGCATGTTCAATTTTATTTTAGTCACTTGTTTATAAAGTTTAGTTATTTCATGTTATTTGTGTTATGGTTTGCCATATTTATATATTTATATTTTTAGCCACATTGTAATATTTACATATATCATGTCTCAAATGTACTCATGCATATTAATTTATTTTATTTCGCGCACATGTTGTATCATATGTAATTATACACATATTTATTAAATTTATTTTTTGTCCTTGTATATTCATATATGAAAATATGTTGTAAATGTTATTCCATTTCATTCAATATGATTTATTTGAACTTGTAAAAATATCTAGTTGCCTATACTTTATTTATTCGAATATTTTCAAGAACCACAATTTATAGAATGGGTGTGGAAAGCATCGCTTGATCGAAGTGTTGTAATCTGATATGACGTTCGAACAAATGTGAACTTGAAATAAAATTGATTTTATTTTGTTAATTAATTTTAAGTTAAATAATGTGATGCATATTACTAAATAGCGGTTTACTTTATGCAAATATCAAATTTCATTTTATATTCGATTCACTTTTTTTAAATCAATGAGGAAGGAATATTCTTTTATTGACAAGAAATAGTCGAGTTAGCTTTCCCGATGGAGGATTACTGATTTCGAGATTTCTTTTCGAGTTAAGGAAGTTTCTCTAATTAATTAATTGGAAGCAAATTAATTAAATTTCAATAAATGGATCATATTTTAACTTTTTATTTGATTTATATTTTCCACCATTACGACAACGTGTAAGTGACACAATACCAATTTTAGGCATTGTGGGGGTACTAATCCTTCCCCACGCATAATAGACTCTCGGACCCATTAAATCGAATTTCTGGTAAACGCAGACCAATTTTGTCTTATAAAATGATTTTTCTTAAAATTATTTTTAAAAGACGTTTTTAGGTATTCGACCTACCTAACCCAAAGGTCGATGGCGACTCCTTTTTATTTTAATTCCAATCAAATTCAAAGCCGGTGAATTTTTCAAATGAAAGTCATAACTGTTTTCTTTTTAAAAAATAATAAACGATTGTTCCGCCGAGAAATGGTTACGACAGCTTGGCGACTCCGCTGGGGATATTTTTAGAGAGTCATGCTTAAAGTCGCTTACACATTGTTGTTTTGGTGGAAATTATGAGTTCGAGTTTTTAGTTAATTTATTATTCGTTTATTGAAGTTTGTAATTGCTTCATTTTTTGTTATACTAACATTTTGATTTTTGTTTTCAGATCTGTCTAAGTTTTTATCGAGTGATTTCGTTTTACTTTTTCAGTCAAATGGTTGAATGGTCCTCCTCACACACATCACGTGCAATTGCATGACATGAGCTCTAGACACGAGCTTCGAACCCTTTTAAGTGAGGGGGTGAAAGCGACGCCTTCGTGGGAATTTATTCTCCGTATGGGCCTAGCAAGTAACCTTCGGGATTCATATACCTTATGTCTTCGTGTGAATTTATTCTCCGTATGGGCATAAGGGAATGTATCCCCTCGAATTGAACTCGATCCATTTAAGCCTATAATGGGTGAGGATTGAGGGTTTGGTAGCCCAAGGGCCACCTACATCAAGGACAATTCGAGTACCTTTTTCCTCGTTAGAGCTGAAACCATGCATATAGTGAACCATAGAATGATCACCCTAGGTATAATCATACTGAACCTCTGTCCGTTAGTAGGTACCCAAAATAAGTATACACAAAGGATGAGTGTTTCTAAACCCTTATCTTTTGCTTTAAGTTTATAGAATATATTTATTTTTGAATAAAAGCATGCGAACTAGATACCATGCGGTTAGGATTAATTTCTTGAAAAATCATTTTGGGTAGATAACATGTATGGGTAGGAATGTTATCTAATAAAAAGCATGTTGGGGTAGATATCATGATGGGTTAGGTGTTATATTTATCTTTGAATAACATTTTTATTTGTACCGATCGTCTTACCTATATTAACTATTTTTCACTTCTTTTGTTTGTGTACACTAACCTTTTTTCCTCTTTTGTCTGTCATATTTAATCATTTTTGCATTACATTGCATCGTCATAACATAATGCAAGAGTGTTGATCAGCAAGGGGATACTCATGAGAAAATCTTCACAAGAAGAGATAAAAGTTTTCAATCAAGCAATCACATACACACACATGCACCAAGGGCTAAAGGAAGTTTAGATTTCAAGAATGAGACTTGCTCGAAGATCGTGCAACATTCAAGATTGAAATGATGATCCGCTAATCCGAGGAGTAATCCAACAGTGGAGTCTTAACTACAATCATCTCATTGCTTACCACCAAAGAGCAACACACTGGCTTCAACATCGCCGAGGCATTAATGGAGTTAGTTTACAGAACATTGAGGGACATCAGTTCCAAATATGAAGATCTGAGACGAAGTAGTGAGCTCGAAGATTATGCAACATTCAAGATGGAAAAGACGATCCATCGATTCGAGGACTAACCCAGCAGTATATTCTCATCTACGATCATATCGTCGTTAGTTATCAAGGAGCAACGCACTGACTTCCGTATCGCTGGGGCATTAACAGAATTAAGATACATAATACTTGAGGGGTATTTTCAAGGACGAAGGTCCATGATGAAGCGACGATCCACTTCAGGCTCAATATCTAATCGAAGGCATGTCTGTAAAGTGGAATGTCTTGTAATGTGAAAGCTTTTATCACTGGTGAAAATTATTCTACGATATTCATCGTTGGGATCAACATTTTTGCATCTGCATCTGCATTTACATCTTTGCATTTGCATTTCATTTTTAAGCATTTTCATGAGAAATATATTCATGGAGGATTCTATAAAGTGGTCCTAACCACGTTACACCACATGGAAGCAAAAAGCTAAAATCAATACAGTTAGAGCTTGTTCAGCTGGTTGTAGGACTGAGCATTCCAAAATGATCTGAGAAAAGAGTCCCCATATCCTGAGGGCTACGATGTTAATCTCGTGTACAGTTACCACATAGAAAGCTTCAGACATTCCTCTGAGAACTGTAAGGAACTGAAGCGCAAACCTGATAAATTCAGGGGCATGAACAATCAAAGAAAAATTGGGGCATTGCATTTACCATTTTCATCAAGAGCATTGTTTTGTTTGAACACGTTTTTGTTCTGTCTTTCATATTTGTTTAATCTTTTAAACGACTGAATTTATGCTACCTTCTAAGGAGTAATAATTGAATGAGTTTTAATCTTTAGTTCTTTGAATATCAAATGAGTTAAAGATTCTCCTAATTCTTCAAGAATTATGGATTTTTGATATATGACAAGATTAGACCTTTCTTATCCTGTCTAAAACCCCATAAATAAAATCTCTTGATTCTCTGCCCAAAATAATTCATGGTCATTACCATATAGCCAAATTTTTACATTCACTCTCTTTGAGACTTTGAAATGTTGCCTTTATCTTTTCGATACACAAAAAAATGTCATACTCATACCTTTCTTTGAGTCAATAAGTTACACCATCGTCTTCTTAGACGTAAAACATACATTTTCTTCTACCAATAAAACCTAAAGATATTGAGTGCAAGATGTTCACTTGAGCATGAACCTTTCTATCAGAAGACACAACTCGGGGCATCACACATCAACTTCCTGAAGATGAGCCCGAACATTGAGACATACTGGGAGCAAGAAGCAGAAAAGTAATAATTTTATCATGCATTAATTACATTGTTTTCATGTAAATACAATTAATCTTGAATACTCGTCCCCCTGGGGATACCTCTTTTACAAAGACTTCCGTGTATGAGATTATGAACGACTTTGTTTCATTTATCCATATATATATATATATCCCTTGTTGTCCCCTTTTGAGCCTATAGTATTTTCTTCTAACCAAGGATTACCCTCCACACTGGGGGGCAATGTGAAAGAAATATGCTCACATGAGTGAAGACATTAATCCATAGGAGACATCAAAAGGTGAATCAAATGACAAGTATGAAAATCTAATCAGAACAAAGAGCAAAAAGGGAAAAAAGAAAAAGAAACTAAAAAGTAAAGAAAAAGAAGAAAAAGAAGAAAAAGAAAAAGGAACAAGAAACACATGTAAAGATTCCCTCGAGTCAAATGGCGCATCAAGCTTCAAACTATGAGATTGATCAAGCGCAATTATTCCAGAATCACTTCACTCGAAGATCATAGAGCATCAAGAGAGAGACACATACGAGCATATTCAAATTGAGCAAGACATGATTGAAGACATCAGAATAAATTGATCATTGGTTCAATACCCTGAAACACTTGTTTGTGCCTATTTATCATTTTCTTTCATAACCATGAACCATGGCCCACATTACGCGCCTAAAAAGTCTCTTCTAATCATACATGGATTTCTAAACAGAAGAGACTATCTTCAGATTTCATCCCGCACATCAGGATTACTTTTTATTTGCAAAAGGTTTTCTAAAATCTTTAATGCATGATAGAGAAAAATAACAAAGGAGGGTTCAAGACGTAAATTTTGAATGATGTTTTGAAACCAAAAGAGGATTCGAGTTGAAAAACTGAAAAGGTGGCTCGAATATAAAATAGTGTGGCTGAAGTAATCACACAAATTCCTTTATAAGGCATTGCACAATCCGAGTGTGACCAAGAGAGTTGGGAGTCGGAGAACACTTCCATTGAAGAAGTCTACAAGCTACCCCGTCAAATCAGTGAACATCAAAGAAATAAGAAGGCCAAACCATTGACCAAACACAATAACCTAAGACTTTTTTTATCATTTTCTTACTTAACCATTTCCCAAAGATAACTTTGATCT